CCTTTCCCTCCTTCCCTTCCCCCTCTCTCCACGTGGACCACCAAGCTGGGCTGAGGTGAGCAATGTTGCTATGTATCATGCCTGACTGTATTATTATATTATCTCTCATGCTCTCGATGACTTTAATATAATACTTATATATCTCAACCGTACAAGCGTCATTTAATTTTTTAATTTAATACTACAAGCAAGTGTTTTGAAACTGATGGTGGTAGCAATTGTACAATAGTGCTTGATGTGATTGAACTATGGAATGTTATGATATTTGTAAGAGCTCCCAATACAATGATTGAAAAACAAAAACAAAAACTCCACGTCAAGAAAACCCAGATCCTCACACTGGACCAACAGGTAAGTCCATGATAAATGGAGAAAAGGTTGATGTGGTGAAGGGATTTGTCTTGCTGAGATCTTGCTCAGACCGCTTCCATGAGCAGTCAAGAAATCAAAAGGAGAGGGGAAAAGAGGAGGAGCTGATCCCAAGGGCTCAAGTAGAAAGGAAATGTTTTGAGAATGATGAGGGCAACACATGTACAAATGTGGTTGACACAGTGGATGGATGGATTGTGATAAGCGTTGTACACGCCCCCAATAAAATGATTTTAAAAAAGAAATCAAAAGGATATAAAAATCAAAAAAGAAGAAATCCAAAGGTGAGTTAGTTGCCTGAGGTCAATCTGCTGCACGCGACTTCTTTAGAGTCTTGAAAAGCAGAGTCATTACTTTGAGGATGAAGGTGAGCCCGACGCCAGCCATGGTGTTTTCCATGGCTTGGGCACTGAATAAAGAAGGCTGAAGGAGAACCGAAGCATTTCCATTGTGGTGTTGGAGAGGAATGTTCAAAGCACCACAGACTGCTAAAGGATGCGCCCATCTGTCTGGGAAGAAGTAGGGCAGAGCGCTTGCAAGGATCTTGAGACTTCGTCTCAGACATCGGATGTGTTGTCAAGAGAGATTAGTCCCTAGAGAAAGACATCGTGTTTGGAAAAGTCGAGGGTCAGTGTGAAAAAAGGAAGGCCCCCCAGGAGATGGACAGACGCCGGGGCTGCAAGATGGGCCCGGGCCCAGGAACAATTGCGAGGGTGCTACAGACGGGGCAGTGTTTCCTTCTGTCGTGCACAGAGGTGCTGTTGGTCAGAACTGACTTGACGGCGCCTACCAACGAGGCTTTCTACTTTCCCTGGTCCTCTGTCCTATTAGGTAGAGACACCCCCTTCGGATGGACCTCCCCTCCGTCAGCAGTACACCACCCATTCCCCTCCA